TCGAGAGGAATGAGAGCGGATGCTTTTGAACTGAAGGTCTAAAGGATGAGATCCTTCAGATCGTGGCGCGAGGAAACAAAGTTTAGATTAGCCGTTGAGTGCCAGATCTTATAGCTTGGTTTTTGCTATAAGGAAAGTACTTTTCGCAAAACATGTTACGTTTACTTTCGAAAGTTACTTCGTTATGACATTATCCTGAATATACGAAGGATTTTTCGCATAAGTAACGGGCGATGATTTTAGTAAATTGACACGACGCGTGGAGATAACAATGTTTCCGCAGATTTTTGAGAAGACTTTTCCGCTTAGTCGGTAATAGTTTCTTGGAATCATTCACAGAATTTTTCCAAAGGTTATTTCATCGAGATCCAGTCGCGAAACCCTCTAGCGGATTTCTTGAGCGGAACGAATCACTTGACCAGCAATAGGATCAGTCGGTGAGCAGGGAGGACGTGTTTTCTATTGCTGCTTTGTGTTCTCGATTTTACTTTTACCGCAAATGTTCTTTACATTATTCCGTGACTCACATGGTTCGACGGACAATGAGAGCAACGCTTCGATACCCAGGGATTTCTCGTATAATTTTTCGATTTTTATACGAAACTCGTTTTATCAAGTTGGAAAAAATCTTTAGGACTTCGGCAAATCATCGAGTTTCACTCTGAAGTTTGGCAGAGATTTTCTGAGCGCATGATTGCGGCGAGAGATGCTGTATAGTCTTCGAGTTTATTTCCCAAACGATTTGGATCAGTCTTTAGCATTTAGACGGTTCTTAGATTGTTGTTTTCTTTTGGGATGATTTTGACGAGGCGTCGCGTTGTCCGAATATTTTTTCTGCTTATCTTTGCGAGAGTTTGATTCATAGAAAGCGTTTTCTTGATGCAAGGGAAAAATGTTCGACGAAAGAAAAAAAATGAGTTTCCTTTGAAGGGATGGGATGATCGGCAATCCGGGTCGATTAAAGACCATGGTGGATTGGTGATGACTTGGAGTATGTCTTATTTACGAAAATTTCTAGGAGCGAGTCGGTTTTAAGACGACGTCAGCGTCTCTAGCTCCTTCTTTCTTATAGAAAATGAGATGAGTACGCTCAAATGTGTGTCGATCGTTTCTTGGTTGTACGAGAGATTGGATCGGTCTTAGTTTCATTGACGATTTGAGATTGTCTATTCTTCGTTCTTCGTCTTTTGACTTATTCTCGTATGAATCGGTCTTCGAAAAATTACCAACAAGAGTACCGGAGCGGGGAGAGGACTTAACCATCGGATTTCATGTTCTTGTTTCTTCGTACTGCAGGTTTTACTTAACCGACTAGATGCGCTTTGTATATCGAAAAATCGATCACGTGTTTATGATTGGATGTTTTCGACTTAGCATGGCAGAGTTTTGTAAAACCGGATTGCGTTTAGAGAGTTCAAATCGCTCGTATAGTTTAGGCAAATTTGGGGTTAAGTCGACCATTTCCATTTTAGACGATTGATTCGAACTTATATGAAAAAACAAGTCTTTGCGGTTTTTATCGTAAAATCTTGATGGAAATTCCGATTGAGACAAAACGAGATTCAGCGTGATCAAGACTCGAGAGAAAAACTTGAGGATTGGTTCAGCTCGACGTAGGGCGAGCTGGGTGGACCCTTTCAGCTCGCTGCATGGCGAGCTGGTTTGAATGGTTCAGCTCGCCGTACGGCAAGCTGGTTTAGCTTGGCCAGCTCGCCGTGTGGCGAGCTAGATAGGAGTAGTCGCTGCTGGAGTTTTTCTACCAACGTTTTTGCTAGCTGCGACTTTGTCTTTCATATTTCCAGACATCGTTCTGATCAAGCGTTTTCCGGCTATGAGTAAGGGTAATCCGACCCCCCCCCCTTCTAGCGCCAAACTGTGGGAACCAAAATTCACACCGTCGATTTCCATAAAATAAGGAAACTTAGGAAAACCCTAATTTTCCAGAGGACCCGGATCTCTGCGAAAGCCAACGACAAGTAACCAAATAAATGCGGAAAATATGAAAAAACATGATAAAAAGAATTTATAGAGAAAGTAGATCTTATTTTGATTTCGCGTAAGAGCGTTGTGATCATTACAAGAGTTTACAAAGGCTTAGGCCGCAGGGCCGTCAGCGAATTATCAACATAAAACCCTAAACCTAGTCGAGTCGCAGCTCGATAACAAAAGACAAAAAAAAATAAGAAAAAGAGAGTTTGATTGATTTCGGACTGAACCTTATGAAAGGCTGTCTACGTACCCCTTTCGAGGATCAAGTTGAACGTAGTTCAATTGGTAGAGCTGGACAAGAGATCGAACTGCCTGGGTGGATTCGTCTAGTAATTGAGCGCCAATCATAGATACCGAACTTGTCGAGAATAAAGCCTAAGTTTCTAAGTGCGGAAAATTCTAAGTCTAGAAAAGTTGTAAAAGTCTCAGATGAGAGCTGTGAAATTCGTCATTTTCTTCTGTCCTCTGCCTTTTGCTTATATACTCCCTTGCTAGGCGGTTTGGTCCTTCCTTTTCGCTCAGATTCGAGTTTATCGAGAATCTTCCATTTATCTCGATCTTTCCTTTTTCTGTGCGGAAATCTTCTAGTTATGTTCAAACTTGACATTTATCGTCTTTCTGGGACTAAATCTTAAAACCGTCATTGTATCTTGGGCTGGATTTTGTTCAAGATCGCAAGTGGGTTTTTATCGTGCTTTTCGGCTGTCCGAACCATTTTGCGATAAAAACCGTTTTACGATTTTTGACGAGATCGTTTCCTGATACGATGCCGCTTTTATAAGATTTTTCGAATCGATCGTATAGTTTGACAATGTACGATGTTCCGCTTAATCGTTGCCGTTTTATGCGATCTTCCCAAACTTTACGAGAAAAGAAGAGTTTTACAATTGTTATCGTAAAACTTAAACGGTGAGACGGATCGAGACGAAACGAAAGACGTTTCGACCATGGCTCAGAGCATGATCGAACCGAAGTACGTATGCCTTGACTCGAGGACGTGGGAGATCGAGGCTTGGGATGGTCAGCTCGACGTACGGAGAACTGAATCGGGAAGGGTCCAGCTCGCCCTACGGCGAGCTGTCGGGAGATGGCCAGCTCGCCGTACGGCGAACTGTCTTAGTCGAGCCAGCTCGCCGTATGGCGAGCTGGTCCGTGGGCTGCCAGGTTGCCGTACGGCAACCTGGTCCAGGGGCCGCCAGCTCGCCGTACGGCGAGCTGGTCCGAGACCGACCAGTTCGCCGTACGGTGAGCTGAACCGGCTGGTTCAGCTCGTCGTACGTTGAACTTGGTTCGGTCAAACCTGCTCGCGGTTTACGGCGGATGCGATCTTTGCCGTTTTTGCTTAACTTGGAAAATCGTGTAATCGGCGATCGTTTATTTTGTTCTTCCCAGATGACGATTTCCAAGTTTTCCGTGGACTTCCTTTGTTTGGAAAGTCCTTAACATTTTATAAAACAACATCTCGTGTTTTATAAAACGTATTTTTATTTTTACCGAAACTTTTAGCCATTGATTACGTCGTGACTAATTTTGACACCAACATCGATCGATGATGAAGTGAGGTTGGTTGGGGTCTGATGAGAATCGGTGGACGAAGAGATGCTAGCGTCGATCGATGTGGAATGTAGGTTTTTGCGGATCGAACGTTCCAAGCTTGCAGGGTCTTCTTAAAATAGCAGTTGTTTGTCCATTTTGCTTCTGGTTATGCTATGTATGCACCTGAAAGATCAAGAAATATTTTTATCAGAAGATGATAAAAGAAAAAGAGAAAGAAAAACCTTGAATTATTAGACTAAATCTAAAGGCTATCAAAGCCCCCCCCCCCCTTGGTAATGGCGCCTAATTTGATGCTTGCTCAAATATTTACCCTATGGAGCAACTTACTCTCTCAAATAAGAGATCTATTGCATTACTTATGGATCGAATCCACAAGTAGCTATGGTACCTATTAAATCTAATCAATCATTAATCTATGTGAATATAAATACTAAATCGCAATAAACAAGTAAACAGAAAATATTCTTATTAAGCAAGACAATTACTCAACAAGAATGGAATGAGGATTTTGAAACAAAAATGGAAAGGTGTGAGACTTACGACTTTTATTCAGGTGTTGGGGATTATAATCATATAGGTGTTATCTAGTTGTTTGCATGGTATTAAAGAGCATTAACTATCTTAACAACAAATTCACTAAACTTTCATTTAATAAATAAGCCTATTGACTAGAATGTTTGTCGACCAAGATAAGAATGTCCGATCAATCACAGTGTCGATCGATTATTCTAGAGGAATATCGACCGATCCACTTTACTCCACATCGATCGATTTGTGATGGTAATATCGATCGATGCGTCTAGTAAATTCCTATGGATCCCTAGATCCAACTTTCGCTGTATTTCTAGTTAGTTCCAAGCTTAATCAGGACGTATTCGATATTCTCAGAGTTATTCAAAGGAATCTAAATAACCTAATAATCCTAGATTCAAGTTTTTAGTTAGCAAGTCTAGAACATGAGACGTAAGAACATCCTATTAATTAATACCACAATAAGCAATCGTATAGTTGGGGCTAATTTCTCTAACCTATTAAAACCCCAATTCTAATAAGTGAATTACTCAGACTAGGTTAAGCAATTCATAACACAAACAATTAAATAAAACTGCATAGTATAGATAGATAGATAGAAAACAATGGAATTCCAATCACAAATCTCTCTGATGATTTTCTCTCCCAAAATATAAATCCTAAAAAAAATTCTGTGAAAAGAATACAGAAAAACTCTCTCTGCCTCAAACACTTTGGCAGAGTATATAAACCTTGGTTAAAACTCATCAGCGGTAAAATCGTCATTTGATGATGTTTGGGATTCAAGTTGGCATGTCTCGCGAATTGGTCTTTGCACCTTTGATATCGATCGATTATGCAAGGTGCATGTCGATCGATGTGAGTCACTCTGTGTCGACCTTGATCGTCGTGGTCGATCCTAAATCGAGTGATTTCTTCAATTCTCTCTAAAATGCTCCAAAACATCACTTTCTTCAAAAATACTCATGAATCTATAAATATATTTAAAAGTTTCTATAATATAATAAATAATAATAAAAACACCAATATACCATGACTAAAAACGGATCAAAATGATGGTATATCACTATCCTTGCTTAAATTAAAGCCCCAACGCGTTTAAGCATTGGAAGGAGAGAACGATTGAGATGAAGACTCATGATTTGATTGGCTCCACCAACCAGCTGCCCTCCTATGAACACCACAGGAACGGTTGGGCTGCAGCCGAGCTGAGCCAATGCATTCTCAATCTCTTTTCCTCTACTGATCTCGTCTAGCTCATAGATCGCCGGGTTCACGCCGAAATCTAAGAAGAGAGTCTTGATTGTGTGAGACATGCAGCAAGAGTTATTGCTAAATATAACCACCGACTTTCCGGAAATCATCTTTCGTATCTTCTCCATTGGTTTTAAAATGGAACGACTTTAGGACCGAAAGCGACCCGCAAAATATCAAACTGAGTGTTTGTTGATGAGATGAGAGATATACAAGGATGAAAATGGAAAAGTTGGATAACTATAGAGAGCTTGATGTCTCTGGGTTAAGATGAAAAGTGACTTTGATGAGTTTCCGTGTTTGATGTACTGAAGGGTCTATAAGGGTCCTTTATATAGGGTACGTAAAGCTGTCATATTATGTGTTTGATGTAGCACGTTTTCTAGAGAATTCACTTTATCCCAAAATCAAGAATCTTAAATAAAGAGCACATTTTAAATAATTAATACTAATTTAGTGGAAGAATAATTTACAGCGAAAAGAATAAACTATCAGCTCATTCGATAAAACGTACAGAAAACAAAATGTGAGGAATATGTGCTACGGACGAATCAAGTCATGTCTTCTTAGTACGGCCAAATATTTTCATCGTCTAAATATATATTTTATCAGATTAAGTACAGTTAATTAATGTGATGATGCATGCATTATGCATAGTGCATAACTTTCATTGTTCTATTCTTTTTTTAGGCATATGGCATGTTAATTGTATTAACCAGCAAATATTAAACTCGGACATGTGTTGTGTGTTGACGCTTTACAAAATTTTTGTGCTTTGTGATCCTCTTTTCTTATCAGTTCATAAATAAACTATGGTAATGGCGTAATGCTAATTATTTATACCGAGGGTTTTGTGAGCCAGAACGAGATCTACATGCAACCTAGTTTCAAAAATTTAATTAAAGCTTACCCTTTGTCATAAACACATGTTCATGATAAAAGTAGAGCTCTTCGTCATGAAGACTCGAGATCGTAGGATATCTCCAGAATAATCTTTTAACTTTGTTATGTTGAGAATTACGTGGCCTCTTAACCCACCATGAAAACATTTTATTCTCACGAAGTTTTCATCATACATCGATACTGGAAATAAATGTAAGTTTTGTTAGATTCTTGACGTCGCTGATATTCGATCGCATTCCAAGACGATAAGGCCCAAATGGAACAATATTGGTTTTGTTTTTTCTTTTTTTTGTATTGCAGGATCGAAGGTGGCTCAACATTATACGAAGAGTCGTTGTTTATATATCACCAAATTACAATGTGATTGTATTTACACCGTACATGTTCTTACGTACAACAATCAACAACGCACATATCTATTATAATTCAGTAACCTGTTGATCTGTTTTGCTATGTATTTGTTTCATAATAATGAAATTGTTAAATATTACAAAGGTAGCTTACAGGCCAGCAGATTCTCCCTTGCTAAAAAAAGAATTTAAAACAAGGAAGAGTGTCATAACCGAGTAGGAGTTGGACTTAGTCATAGTCACAGGTGAGCCAGATCTGCATAAGATCACAATATTCTTTGCGTTTTCATTTTTTTGCGGGAATTACATTTTTGTATTAGTTGATTATACGTTGAAAATAGCTTGTGGTGCGGAGGAGACTGTAACAACCCAATCTCCTGGAGTACGATCGGGGTTAGCGAAAGAAAGTTACGGACACGTGTCTACTCAATTAGACAACCCTACGTATCTCTTCCTAGTCCCAGGAGTCGGTGGACACAATCTTTTAATGAAATCCGATCCACCCATATTCGCATACTTCTATTTACGGTCATGCGCATAGGGGAAAAGGGAAATGGAGAGATGAGCAATTGGGATTACTCAGTGAAGTGACTCTAGTCCAGCCTGTTCGTATGATATTCTATCCTAACCCATGCGGGAAACAGGCCGACTAGCCACTACAATCAATATGCAACATACAAGCCATACAACAACATTTCAATAGAGTATTCTACCACCCTAACGTTCATACACCGCACGGACTCAGCCGTTGCATCACATAGACTCAATCACGCAATCATTCTATTACCTAGACTCACCAATCAACCTAGACATATAAGACCTATGGCCTTCTTACGGACGTCCCCCCTCACATATCAGCCAATTCTGGGAGATCTTACACGAACCGCTGTCCCCCAGCCCCTAAGTAACCACCCGCGAGTAGCTCGTTGGCCCACGTGCAGCTCTGGTGGCCCACGTGCAACACTGTCCACTCGCGGTTCCCGCCACGTACACTGTCAGATGGTCACATTTTGCCACGACTCGTCATTGACTCCATCTCAAGGCGCCTATACCTACCTTTACCCCGTCTTGGCGGTCACCGTCCTTTCACGGACTTTCACTTCACACCCACGGGTACCTCTTGTTAGGCTACTATCCCGTGAGCTAACACATCTTAGACTCTAGACTCCCACCCGTTCTCAGTGGTCCAAACAGCAATTCAAACAAGTTCATTGACTCGATAATCTTTCCATTCTCATTCACGTTCTCATTCTCTTTCTCATTCACTTTCTCATCATCGTTCACATTCTCATTCTCATTCATGTTCTCTTTCTCATTCCCTTTAACTCGTTTGTGTACAATTAGACTCATACTCAACTCTAGAAGGCACCCGTTATCGGTCTCCCATACATCACACATAACATTCTCATTCTTAAACACTGGATCCAAATGACATTTCATTTACATACATATAGCAATCACGTATCACTTGTAACTCTATAACATTAGATACCAGATTCAGCTAATGGTAGTTAACTTCTCCACTTTCCTTAACCAACCCCGCACACATGCATGCCACACGCGTTGAGCACCATGTATTTAGCGACCAGACAATAAGGTCCAATGTTACAATGTCTCATCTCCATTGTAGAACATGTAATCATTGCAGTAATCCGCCATCGATTCACTGTTCTGCCTTTCTCAGCTAACTTACACCCCTTATAGAATCCCTGAAACCACAATCCTTTATCATCTCTTTCAGTGGTAGTCCTTCGATACTTCATACATCTTATGTCCATGTATATGGAATGTCAGTGACTACTGAGTTTCTTCCAAGTTCTCGCCCTTCATAATTTAATCGCTCAAATTACTCTGTGAGGGTAATTTCTAAGAACCTATGAAGTCATCTCAGATCACATAACGCATCAAGCACGAGTCGTAAGTTAGTATTACCTAGCATTCATCTAACAAGATTCTCTAGTCTCTTTACTCTGCAAGTTCCCAAGCTAACCGCATGTACACCTCATTGTCTTATACAATTTCACCATTCTCTGCCTAGTTGACCCTCGCCAAACCGGCACTCACCAAACCGGCACTAAAATTCATAAAAATTGCAGATTCACAATCACTCCGATGAAATATCGTGACTCAAGCTCATATACGACACCATCCACTTACATTTGGCCTCCACACGTCTCATGGTATCTTTGATGTTCTTCTACACCCATGGTATCCACCACAACTTCTGCAGCCTATAGAATTATATTTGACATGCTTTCTTTCTCTCACTCATCCTCCATATGGCACTTGGTTAGAATTGATATTGTACTAGTACGAGGTTTTGCTCTGCTCGAAGGCTAGGATGCTCATTAAAGGATGTTTGTCTTACACCCTCTGGTGTCCTTTGGTGTGACGGATAATGAAAGGATTAGAATATAACCTACTAACTAAGGGAAAGCTCTTTTAAAAACATTGGACGGATTTAGCACGAGAAGAATCTTGCAAATAAACAGATCCGATCAGAACCATAATAGAAGTATGGATATCGTGGGTGGTTTTGAAACATTCTTTCGCAATCCATTCTTATACTTTCGCAAACATTTTTCTTTTAAAATCAAGGTTTTTGAAAATTTCAGAAATGCCGATCCCTTAGGATAATACTAAGGGATCTTAACCCCCGCTCTGATAACAATTGTAACAACCCGATCCCCGGCGTCCGACCGGGGTTTAGCGAAAGGGAGTTACATACACATGTCTACTCAATTAGACAACCCTACGTGTCCCTTACTGGTCTCAGAAGTAGGAGGGCGGAATCTTTTAGTGAAATCTGATCCACCTGTATCCACATACTTCTACTTACAATCATGCGCATAGGGGAAAACGGAAATGGAAAATGAGCAATTGGGATTACTCAGTGAAGTGACTCTAGTCCCCAGCCTGTCCACATGATACTCACTCCTACCCCATGCGGGAAGCAGGACCGACTAGCCACTACAATCAATATGCAACATACAAGCCATACAACAACATTTCAACATAGTATTCTAACACCCTAATGTTCATACACCGCAAGGACTCAGGCGTTGCATCACATAGACTCAATAAAGCAATCATCCTATTACCTAGAATAACCAATCAACATAGACCTATAGGACCTACGGCCGTCTTACGGACGTCCCCCTCGCATATCGGCCAGTTCTAGAAGATCTTACACGAACCGCTGTCCCCCAGCTCCTAAGTAACCACCCGCGAGTAGCTCGTTGGCACACATGCAGCTCCTGCTGGCCCACGTGCAACACTGTCCACTTGCGGCTCCCGCCACGTACACAGCCAGATGGTCACATTTTTCCACGATTCGGCATTGACTCGATCTTAAGGCGTCTATTCCTACCCTTACCCCACCTTGGCAGTCAACGTCCTTTCACGGCCTTTCACTTCACACCTACGGGTACCTCTTGTTAGGCTACTGTCCCGTGGGCTAACACATCCTAGACTCTAGAAGCCCACCCGTTCTCAGTAGTCCAAACAAGACTTCAAACAAGTTCATTGACTCGGTTATCTTTCCATTCTCATTCATGTTCTCATTCTCTTTCTCATCATCGTTCACATTCTCATGCTCATTCATGTTCTCTTTCTCATTCTCTTTACCTCGTTCGTATACACTTAGACTCATACTCAACTCTAGACACCACCCGTTATCAGTGTCCCATACATCACACATAACATTCTTATTCTTAAACACTGAATCCAAATTACATCTCATTTACATACATATAGAAATCACGTATCACTTGTAACTCTATAACATTAGATACCAATCCACCAAGTACACTACTTTACATTCAAGCCTTTATTTCTCTCTAGTAACCTAGCTTTCATTCACAACCATTACATGGGACACACACCAATCACACAATCATTCATCAATCATTAACCACATCAACACAAGGCAGTCCATTAAGTCCCATTTAAACAGTATGAAGGTTCTTATGCATCATGATTCATTCATCTATCAACCT